GTCCAAGGTTTTTAGTAGATGACTTTGAAACTCCTACATCGTTTTGTTCTTGAGTTATTGCATTCGCAAACTTGGGTGATGACACCATCAGCCTATTATGCCTGAGGGGTAAAAATTAATGTTATTGGCTATAATGTTTTTAAGTCTTAAACCATAGGCAAATTTAATTTGCTTTTCATTAACATCTAAAGGACTGTTAGCCTCCTTGAGCTTAATTTTCCATTGTCTTAAGATCTTTTTAAGGGCCTGTGGAAAAAAACCCCTCCCCATTGGTGAAGTGTTTTATTTTTGAAACAGTCTTTGAAGAAGAGAACACAACAGGTAACAGAGTGAGACTCAAAGACAGCAAACACATGCAACACTTATGTGCTGGGAGCCACTGGTGAGTTTTGTTTTGTGTTTAAAGAAAGCAAAAGTAGCTTAGTTTCAGTGAGTTCAGATAACATCAAAGTCATAGCATCAATTAGTTATCAAGCCAGTAGTGTTGTACTAATGATGGTACTATAAGGATGTGTTCATAATACTTAATTTTACAATATGAATTCTGAAGTCTCTGTAGTGTCCTGTGTATAAACATCAACATGTTCACTGGCATCTCTGGAGTAGGTAGAAAGTCAAATGTCCATGAAAATTAAATTAAAAAAACAAACACTCATGAACAAATACAATAAACTGCTGCCCATTTATTCCTTTCTGTGCTTTCCTCGCCTCTTCTAAATGTTGTAACTGATGGTGCGTTCACGAGGTGCAGTCGCCCAACGTCGAAGATACTCTAAATCATCTTCAGTGTTTTCTTCGTCCGTGTTGACTTTGAGGAAGAAAAAACACAACAAAACAAAACCCTGAGCAACCTGCGTGAATTTCTAGACACCACAGCAAGCTGCAGGAATCCTGAAAAAGCTCTCCTGAGAATTCTTACCAGGATGGGAATGTGATCCAGTGGTCAACACTTTGGGACAAAGGACCCCAGCTTCTTCTCCATCCGAATCATTGAAGCTTTCATCCAGATTCTTTTGGAGCTTCTCCAGCTCTTCCAGCAGCTCATCCTG